AGTGATCTTGGGCAAGTCATGCTCTCTCATCCTCAGAGGAAGGTGAAGGCAAACACTATCTGAACTAGTATTGTCAGAAAACCCTGTGATAGGTTAGGTTCAACTTAAGTTGGAAACAACTTGAAGGGACACCACATTATCGCACTTGCTTCAGAATGTGATAAATTGCCCTACCAAGTGAGTTTTCATGACCGAGCAGGAATGCAAACCTTGGTCTCCAGAGTCCTTGTCCAATCCTTAAACCACTAATCACACTGAATTGGTTTGTGTGTGTCCTTTTCCATAAATAAATGTAGACTTCCATAGTTAGCACATAAGGGGAGCTATACATACATGTGTGAAATGACAGATTTGTAAGAGCTCTGCTAGAACAATATCTTTCAAACATTTCTTCTCACCCCTTTTTAAAAATTTGAACCATTCCCAACACTGTGATGGTACGTGGAGCTGCAGAGCTTGTGTGTGTGTCTGTGTATTTGGGAGCACACATAATTTCCCAATTTCAATGTAAGCATGGGGTTTAGTCCCTATAGCAAATCCGCACCCAAGTTAATAAAGATTAAGCCCACTTCCCCATGTAGACAAACCCTGAGTTGAACTTTAAAGCCACTTTTTAATCTGTAATTAATCCAGGGGAGCGGAAAGCAAATACACAACCCTGTTCTGCTGGAAGTTTTAAGTTGCCTCTGGATAGGTTATTAATGCTTAGGGAAGCCGCTCTTTTCAAGGTCAGACTGTAATGACGAAGAAACTACCTTCCTCTGACTAGAATGAAGTCAGGAGGCTGCATCGGGGTTTCTATTCTATCGAGAAAGCAAAACCCATAAACTGATTTGTCCTGTAACGTGGAAGAAGATTGAGGAGTGGGAATAAAGACCCTGACATTGAAATTAGCTAAACAGGATGCATACCATCAAAATTTCGCAAATGACAATATTTCAGAGGACATTGCTTAATATTCTATTTTGAGGACTAGGCACAGGAAATCTTTTGCTTTAAGAGATAGTATGTCAGAGTAAAATGATATTTAAGACGTCCTTGCTATGTGAAGATCCTCTAACACATAGATCAGCTGTTTACCAGTACTGTTGTCACTGATGGCAAAGACACTATTATATGCATGTGTGTGTGTCAACTGGACATGAGAGAAGCTTCCCACATGATGGTAAAAAATTCAGGTGTCCTCTAGTCAACGTCCTTGCAGACAGCCAATTCTCTCACACCAGAAGCAACTTGCAGTTTCTGAAGTCACTTCTGACATAAAAAAAAACACACAAAAAAGTGAAGTGAGACGCTTTCAAAAAAAAAGTGTAACTGTTTTTAAAAGGATGCTGAGCTGCTTTCCTGACCTGCATATGGAGGGAAGTAATTAGCAAGTTGGCCCACAAATGTTATAAACCAGTGATAATAAATCTAACAAATCATTTAATAGACACAGCAGGATTTATGCAAAGCTTTGCATATATGTGCGGATAAAAGGACGAGGGGAATGATATGGCCCACTTGGCTGCTGATGCAAACAAGAGTGTGACCGATCAGATGGCCACCAACTGTCTAGTCTTAACCTCTTTCCACACTTGTTTTCAAAATGTATGTTAAAAAATAAGAAAAGAAAAGCAGCTTCTTTCCCCCCCCCTCCCCCAATTATTACAGTAAAAATAAGGTTCTAACAAATCAACTTGAATTCGTCAGGTGTTATAAAAACTTTCTAAATCGCATGGAAAACACCCAATCCACCACAATTCTGAATACTCCCCAGAAGCCAAGATGAGTAAACTGAGATTGTTATTCTTTGGTCAAATCATGAGAAAGTGTGATTCACTGGAGAAGACAATGATGCTTAGCAAAGTAGAAGGCAGCAGGAAAATAGGAAGATAGCAGGTTACTCTCTTTTACCAAAATCAGTGGCACAGATAAACTACCGGTAACTTTAGAGTCTGCATGTAACAGCATAACAGCCTCCACCCCCCCCCCCCATTTAAAATAGTAATGCTTCACATCTCACGAGAACCAATGTTGGTATAGTGGTTTGGCTATGGCTTTGGAGATCAAGGTTTGCATCCCTGCTTAGCATGCAAGGAATCAGTGAATGTGTGTGTGTCAACTGGAAAATAAGATGCATGAAACTGCTTGGTCGGGCAATGCCCGGGGAGATGGCTAAGCCTGGGAATTTGGATACTGTTGCATTGATGTTTGGGCTTGAGCTATGCATGAATAGAGAGAAACAGTTTGAAGAGAGAAGCAGAGAGAGAATTTTGAGTGTGCTCTTGCTGCATGAGCTGCTGAAGGAGTTTATCCACATAGACAAAGACCATTTTAAATCTCTCATAAAAGGACATTATGAGAGTTGATGCAACTGATCACATTGTACATATGTTGTTCTGAACTATGGAGAGTAAACTATTTGTTCTTGTGGGGATTTGTAAAAAGGCCATGATGTAAATGGGTTGACTGGAAACATATGTTTTGACAACTGATTGGCTGAGCATACCAGGAGCCAGAATTCAGATTGGCTACTATCGCTAGCTTGCTGCTGAGAGAAACGGTTTTAACTGCCATTTTCACCTCAGAGAGTGAAGAGAGTGCTAACTGGAATCAGCCAGGAAGGAAATGGCTGCCAACTCTCTGAAGCCTGATCATTTCTAAGGCATGAAGCATATTTTAAAGACTGTTTAAAAAGATTATTTATTCCCTCCGTTCTCTATAAGAATTCAGAGAGACTGGTGTATATATTATTGCTCTGTTTGACCTTTTGAACTGAAGTAAAGTTACTGTTACTTGTTACACAAATCAGAGTGAGACATTATTATACTGCAGGGTGTATTTTGGTTCAGAAACAGTGGTAAAGTTTCTGTTTATTTACATTTACAACCTCCCACAGTTCTTTATTGTTAATCTGCATGGCGTATTTTCTTTCTCTGGCAAGTGAGTGTGTGGGCTGATCAAACATGAACTACACGTGGTTTATTTTACATTACGCCACAAGTTGCACACTTTCAGCCCCAGAATGAGGCAAGGGCAAAGCGCTTCTCAACACATTTCCAAGAAAACTTTGTAATAGGTTTGCCTTAGGGCTAGCGTACTTGGGAGCAATTTGAAACATACAACAACAGTATCTCACTTGCTTCAAGATTTAGAAAAGCTACCATACTGTTTTGGAGGTCTTCCCACCCATTTTGTCAAGTGAAGGGCTCCAAATATTACCTTCAAGTCCTACTTTGACAGCACCACTGCCTGAAACCACATCCAGTTTTTCAAGAAGTTAGGAGGGACATTGATAGGCATTGGGGCTTCTTGAAATGGAGGTGGTTGGATCACTCTCTCCATCCCTTGTGCCTGGCCTAAGCCTCTCGTGCGCACTGATCCCCATCAAGTGTTCAGCCCTGTGCCAAGCTGCTGACATCCACAGAGCTGCTGGCTCAGCCAAGTGCTTCTCATGTGCCATGCATGTGCCAGCTGCTTTTCAGAGCGTGGAAAAGCAGAAGCTCTGCCTCAGGCTAGCAAGGGCCAGAACAACAGAAACTGGACATAACTGTGGGACAGAAGAAACCCTATTGGCGGCATGTGGTGTGTGTGTATGTGTGGCGGGGAGAGTAGTAGGGGGTGACATGGCGCCAGACCTGGTGAAATAACCAGAATGAGAAGAGGATTCTGTCAATCGCTGCCCCAATTCCCCTGAGGGTTGAGAGCTGTTGACACCATTTGTTCTTGCTTGGAACATCTAGAAATGCACTGGGGGAAAGGCTTTGATTTCCAATACTGTCCCTTAGTTGCCACTAGCCTTTGGAATAGGGATAGGAAATTGGTTTCATTACAGATATTGTTTAACTGACTCTCCCATCAATCCTAAGACACATTCTCATTGGTGAAGGGTTATGGGAAGTACAGTACAGAAACCTCTGAACAAGCCACCTAGCACACATCCTGATATACAGATAGAGGAAAAATGAACAAAAGACTTGGAATTTAGACGTCTTTTCATGCTACACAATGTAATGATTCCACTTTAACAATGATACCAACATCTTATGAAATCTACACATTTTGATTTAGGAAAGGTTTTTGAAATTCTCTGCCAGAGAACTTTAGAGCGGTGTTTATCAACCTGGAGGTCAGGATCCCGTGAAGGGAGTGTCAGAGGGGTCACCAAAGACAATTGAAAACACAGTATTTTCTGTTGGTCATGCAGGTTCTGTGTGGGAAGTTTAGCCCAATTCTGTCGTTGGTGGGGTTCAGAATGCTCTTTGATTGTAGGTAAACTATAAATCCCAGCAACGACAACTCACAAATGTCAAAGTCTATTTTCCCCAAACTCCACTAGTGGTCACATCTGAGTATATTCAACATTTGTGCCAAGTTTGGTCCAGATCCATCATTGTTTGAGTCCACAGTGCTCTCTGGAGGCAGGTGAACTACAATTCCAAAACTCAAGATCAATGTCCTCCAAACCCTTCCAGTTTTTTCTGTTGGTCATGGAAGTTCTGTGTGCCAAGTTTGTTTCAATTCCATCGTTAGTGGAGTTCAGAATGTTCTTTGATGACAAAGTATAAATCCCATTAACTACAACTCTCAAATGACAAAATCAATCCCCACCCCACCCCAATCCTACCAGTATTGAAATTTGGGCGTATTGGGTATTTGTGCCAAATTTGGTATGAAAATACATCCTGCATATCAGATATTTACATTACGATTCATGACAGTAGCAAAATTACAGTTATAAAGTAGCAACAAAAATGATTTTATGGTTGGCGGGTCACCACAACATGAGGAACTGTATTAAGGGTCACGGCATTAAGAAGGTTGAGAACCACTGCTTTAGAGCCTCACTAAAGTACAAATCCCAGAATTACATAGAATGGTCCCATGGCAGTTAAAGTGGAATTATAGCGCTATAACTGTGTATTGAACAGACCTAATTTTAACGGAAGGCCTTCAGCCATAAATGCAACCATTCCCTTTGTGTTAGAAATGGAAATAATCTTATAAAGATGTATTACCTTTCAAACTACTAAGCAAAATACGAATTCCGTCAAAGGAAAGGAAAGACTCTTCCGAAACTCAGCTTGGTTCTTTTCTTCATCCTCTGACATCTCGTACAATAATCTGTCACAAACAATAATCAAACTTGAAAGACTTGTTATCACCTCATCCACTTGCCAGAAAAAGGAAAACTCATCAGTTGCCTTGACAGATGACGTTATTGTTCCTTCTCTGAAAAAAAGAAGGGCCAGAGCTGAGCTCCCTTGAATTATAGCTTGGCTCACTAGTATTAGTGGGGGTTAGTTACTTTACGCAGGTATCTCTACGGCACTAGAAAACAGGATTTCTCTCATGGAAAAAGTCGTTATTTTACTTTCCTTGGGAACTGCAAGAACTGTACATTTTGCTCTGAGTGATTTTACCATTGAGGTAAAGGATTATTTTAGTAAAATGATTCTTATATTTGTTTACTATATTGGCAAATGTTAGCAGTGAGATCCAGCATGGTGTGTGTGTGTGTGTGTGTGTGTGTGTGTGTGTGTGTCAGGAGTGACTTGAGAACCTGCAAGTTGCTTCTGGTGTGGGAGAATTGGCTGTCTGCAAAGACGTTGTCCAGGAAATGCCCAGATGTTTGATGTTTTACCATCCTCGTGGGAGGCTTCCCTCATGTCCCCGCACAGGGAGCAAGAGCTGACAGGGGGAGCTCAACCTGCTCTCCCTGGTTTCAAACTGCAGACCTGTCAGTCAGCATCCTGCTGGCCCAAGGGTTTAACCTATTGCACCACTGGGAGCTCCCTCCAGTATGGTGTAGTGGTTTGAGTATTGGAGAACTCATATAGGGTCACCACATAAATGGCTCTAAAGGGGGCAGGTAGACAACTTCACAGTCAGCATGGTTATAGTATTGGACTATTTATTTATTTATTTACCATAATTATATACCGCCATTCTCAGTCCGAGGGCAACTCAGGGCGGTTTACAAATAGCACAATTCGATGCCCGCAATAACATAAAAACAATTAAAACATTTAGCATAAATAACATTAACTAAAATAATAAAACTGATAATAATATAGATTCCCAGCATCTCAATTACTAAAATCATTATCCGATCGCATTGTCCAGTCATTCCAAAGATCAGAGTTTGTCTGCTACACTGCATTTGGGAAAGGTAAAAGGTAAAGGTAGTCCCCTGACATTAAGTCCAGTCATGTCTGACTCTGGGGTGTGGTGCTCATCTCCATTTCTAAGCCGAAGAGCCGGTGTTGTCCGTAGACACCTCCAAGGTCATGTGGCTGGCATGACTGCATGGAGCGCCGTTACCTTCCCGCCAGAGCGGTACCTATTGATCTACTCACATTTGCATGTTTTCGAACTGCTAGGTTGGCAGAAGCTAGGGCTGACAGCGGAAGCTCACGCCACTCCCCGGAATCGAACCTGCGACCTTTCGATCAACAAGCTCAGCAGCTCAGTGCTTTAACCCACTGCGTCACCGGGGGCTCCATTTGGATTTGCATTTGGGAAAGCTTGCTCAAAAAAGCCAGGTTTTAACTTTTTTGCAAAATGTTAAGAGGGTGGGGGCCGATCTGATATCCTTAAGGAGGGCGTTCCACAGCTGAGGGGCCACCGCTGGGAAGGTTCTGTCTCTCGTTCCCACCAACCAAATCTGTGAAGAAGGCGGGACCGAGAGCAGGGCCTCCCAGAAGATCTTAGGGTCCTAGATGGCTCATAAGGAGAGATACATTCAGACAGGTAAGCTGGGCCAGAACTGTTTAGGGCTTTATAGGCTGAAGCCAGAACTTTGAATTGTGCTTGGTAGCAGACTGGCAGCCAGTAGAGCTGGCGCAACAGAGGAGTTGTGTGCTCCCTGAGCACCGCTCCTGTTAACAACCTGGCCACCACCCGTTGGGCCATTTGAAGCTTCCAAACAGTCTTCAAAGGCAACCCCACGTAGAGAGCGTTGCAGTAGTCTATATGGGATGTAATTACCATGGCCAAGTCAGACTTCCCAAGGTACGGGCGTAGCAGAATTCCAAAATATAAGGATCCAAATCCTTGCAAGGCAATGCCATGAAAACCCATGAGCAAGTCACACTCTTATCATCTGGATTTCAGCAGAGCATTTTTATAAGACCCCCCATGACATTTTGATTAGCAAACTGACTATCTGTATAACAGCTGGAAACACCATCCAATGGATCCATAATTGGTTGGAATTAGGATTATCGTGCATTATAAATTGAACATAAGCCAGGGATGTGATGCTGCCATAAAGAAAGCAAATGATATCTCGCCCTATATTAATGGATGCATAGTTTCTAAGTCAAGAGAAGTAATAGCCCTACTACATTCTGGGCTGGTCAGGCCTCATCACTTCTGGGTACCTCATTTAAAAAGGTTATGGAGAAATTGGAGTGGGTTCAGAGAAGGACAGCAAGACTGATAAGAAGTAGGAGAACAGAATGTATGAAGATGGACATGTTCAGCTTGTTGATGAAAAGGCTGGGGGTTTGAATGATTGCACTCTTGAAATAACTGAAAGGCTGCCACAAAGAAGAGGGGGCAGGCTTGTTTTCTGCTGCCTCCAAGGATAGAAATGAGTGTAATGGTTTTAGGTTATAGGAGGGTAGATTTCACTTGAACATTAGAAGGAATGTATTGACCTTGAAAGCAGATTGGCAATGGAATCAATTGTCTATAGAGTCTCCTTCTCCTTCAAAGAAAGGCTGGACAGCTACCTGCTAGGTATGTTTTGGTTTGACATCCTCCATCGAGCAGGGGGTTGAATGGATTGGTCCATGCAACCTCTTCCAACTATGATTCTAAGATTATGACTCTATGATAAAATCAAGCATTATTTATCCCATGCAGTCATGCAGGCCACATGATCTTGGAGGCGTGTATGGACAACACCGACTCTTCGGCTTAGAAATGCAGATGAGCACCACCTTCCAGAGTTGGATACGACTAGACTTAATGTTAAGGGGAAACCTTTACCTTTTCTTATGGATTCCGATATGTCACAACCCTAGGTGTCTATACCTGCCTTCCTTTACATGGTGCATTACAGCTGTGCAGAAATGGGAAGTTTGAGAGTTGTGGTTTTTTTTTCCTGTGTTTGAAATGCAGTGGGTTGGAAATGATTGCCACAGCCAAAGGTATACATTCATAATCACTACCCCAGGTAGGAACCTAGGAGGGACCCAGAGCAATATTAATCTTTCTGCAGCCTCCATGGATAAGAGTTAATATCAAAGTCATGGGCTTGAGCTTCAAGAAGGTGGAGATGAGGTTGGAGTTTAAAATGCTGCGTCAAATTGAATCGGCCAACGCTTTGCTTATGTGTTACAAAGATTAGGTAAAGGTAAAGGTTTCTTTCCCCTTGGCATTAAGTCTAGTTGTGTCTGATTTTGGGGGTGGTGTGCATCTCCATTTGTAAGCCGAACAGCCAGCGTTGTCCATAGACGCCTCCAATGTCATGTGGCCGACATGACTGCATGAAGCACTGTTACCTTCCTACAGAAACGGTACCTATTGAGCTACTCATGTTTGCATGTTTTTGATCAGCAGCTGCCGCAATGGAGGAAAGCACCTGTGAGTTTAAGATCAGGGCAGGCTAATGCCAGAAGACATTTCTGAGCAGTCTTCAAGGACAGTCCCAGATATGACAACATTATAGTAGCTGGGTTGTGTGCATTTTCCGGGCTGTATGGCCGTGTTCCAGAAGCATTCTCTCCCAATGTTTCACCTACACCTATGGCAAGCATCCTCACAACCTCTGAGGATACCTGCCATAGATGTAGGCAAAATATCAGGAGAGAATGCTTCTGGAACATGGCCATATAGCAACCTAGCGATTCCAGCCATGAAAGTCTCCAACAACACATTATAGTATACTTTACATCTCACCATCACACAAAGAACAAATAAGGGAAGTGGGAATCAATTCCATTTTACAAAAGGATAAACGGATGTAACAAAGTACCCACGGTTATGCATCAGAGTGGAATGATTTGCTTATTTTTGCAACTCAATTCTGATTGCAATGCACTATCATTCTAAGTGCCCACCTTCTGTTTGTTTATACCTCTCGATCTACACCCAGTCCCCATATTTCTCCCTCCACACGTATGTGTGCCCACTTCTGAATTTTCAACTTCTAATGATTGCAGTGTCTTTGTTGTTGTTGTTGTGTGTTTTCAAGAATCATAGAATCATAGGGTTGGAAGAGATCTCATGGGCCATCCAGCTCAACCCCCTGTCAAGAAGTAGAAATATTGTATTCAAAGCACCCCTGACAGATGGCCATCCAGCCTCTCTTTAAAAGCATCCAAAGAAGGAGCCTCCACCACACTCCGGGGCAGAGAGTTCCACTGCTGAACAGCTCTCACAGTCAGGAAGTTCTTCCTAATGTTCAGATGGAATCTCCTTTCTTGTAGTTTGAAACCATTGTTCCGCGTCCTAGTCTCCAGGGCAGCAGAAAACAAGCTTGCTCCCTCCTCCCTATGACTTCCTCTCACATACTTATACATGGCTATCGTGTCTCCTGTCAGCCTTCTCTTTAAGCTACTCCTCATGGAGCTTGTTCTCCAGACCCTTGATCATTTCAGTTGCCCTCCTCTGGACACATTCTAGCTTCTCAATATCTCTCTTGAATGGTGGTGCCCATAATTGGTCACAGTATTCCAGATGTGGTCTAACCAAGGCAGAATAGAGGGGTAGCATGACTTCCCTGGATCTAGACACTAGACTCCTATTGATGCAGGCTAAAATCCCATTGGCTTTTTTGGGATTGTTGGCTCATGTTTAACTTGTTGTCCATGAGGACTCCAAGATCCTTTTCACACGTACTGCTCTCAAGCCAGTACAGATCCATGAGTCCACTCTTTTCCTGTCTTCTCAGCCTGCCATTGTCCCCATCTTCCACTGATGAAAGGAGATTACCTGTTGTTTTTCTAGAACTCCTATGGTGTTACACTCATTGTAATGTGTTGCTGTTGGCATGTACTTTGGATTGCTTCCACTGTTCCATAATGCTTTGTTCAACTCCACTCAATCTACCCACATGAGTTGCTGCTGTGTTTCTTTTACTTTCGCACCGTACTCTTTCTAGCGCTAACCTGCTACAGTCTTCTCATGTTGCCTTGGCATTCAAGAGTCAACATCTTCTCATTTGGGCAAAAGAAACCTTAAGTATTAAAAGGATCACAGTTGTCCCAAAAGCCACAATCAACCCTTTCCACCTCCTTCTTGAAGTCCTTCCCTGGACAACTCTTTGCAAAGAAGCCACTTACCCCATTGAACTTGGACATCCCCTGAGTATCTTTTCACAGAACGTTTCTGGTTCCTCTTCCTCACTCTTCGTTAATTATACATCTTTTCTCTCTTTCTTTCTTCCTTTTCACCCCCTCTTTCCCCTTGATGCTCTCCTCCTGGCTGCCAAGGATGTCTTCTTCTTCTTTTTCTCTGTCTCTCCCTGACTTCTTCTCTCCTTTGCTTCCTCAGACTAACTGTTGGGGATGCAGAGCCCAGCTAATCCCTGGAGAATTTGCCACAAGTTGAGAAGGAGGCAAGGACACAAGTCCCACCCCTGGCCTTTGGGGATTGGTTGGTTTTGGGTATCCCTCTCTCCCTGTCCAGCTGTTTTTAAACAGCTGGATGGGGAGAGAGCCAGATTAGGGTGCTGGGAGAAAGAACTGAAAAGTGAGGATGGGTAGAGGCCTGTCTTTGCATTTCTTATATTTTTGTGAAATCTCTCTCTCTCTGTTAATTCTCAGCTTGTTAGGTTTTTCATTCTCTCTTTGGCAAGCTCTCTTCTCTCCCTCTATTTTCCCCTCCCTCTGCACACACAGCAATAAAGCACTGGCCTTCAAATCAATACATGGAAAATGCTCCCAGGGGATCATGAGTGGTTCAAGCCATAGACAGCTCTGTCTTTCTCTATCATATATTTACTATACTTGGCTGGAATAGCGGTTGCCAGGTATCCTTTAATATAAGGGATGTTTAAAGGCTGCAAAGTGTGTCCCTTAGCAGGCTGGCAGATTTCTTTCTTGTAAAGAAGGGCTCTTATTTGAAATTTAGAAAACTTTTATTTTAATATAGATCAGTGTTTCTCAACCTTCCTAATGTCGTGACCCCTTAATACAGTTCCTCATGTTCTGGTGACCCCCAACCATAACATTATTTTTGTTGCTGCTTCATACATGTAATTTTGCTACTGTTATGAATTGTAATGTAAATATCTGATGTGCAGGATCAGGCCCATAGCCAGGATTTTGATTTTTGGGTGGGAGGGGGGGGGGGCTGAGTTTTATTTGGGGGGGGGGGGCTGAATCTGAAAGAGGGTCTACCCTAGCAAACCTTTTGTACCATTACCCCCATGCATGTGGGATATATTGAGCATGGTGATCAGATTATGATATGAATATACATAACAGTTTAAATAATGTACCAGTAAGGCCTTCTTGCAGACCACCATGAGAATTTCGGGGGGGGGGGGGCTGAAGCCCCTAAAGCCCCCCCCCAGCTACATGCATTTTCATTCATTGGACCAAATTTGGCCCAAATACCCGATATGCTCAAATTTGAATACTAGTGGGCCTGAGGGCGGCAGGTATTGATTTTGTCATTTGGGAGTTATAGGTGCTGGGATTTATAGTTCACCTACAATTAAAAGGCATTCTGAATTCCACCAATGATGGAATTGAACCAAACTTGGCATACAGAACTCCCAGGAGCAACAGAAAATACTCTCAACCTGGGGTCCCCAGATGTTTTTGGCCTACAACTCCCAGAAATCCCAGCCAGTTTACCAGCTGTTAGGATTTCTGGGAGTTGTAGGCCAAAACACCTGGGTACCCACAAGTTGAGAACCACTGCTCTAAGAGTTTGGTGGGCACAGACCTTGAGTTATAGTTCACCTCCACCCAGAGAGCATTGTGGACTCAAAAAATGATGTATCTGGATCAAACTTGGCACAAATCCTCAATATGCCCAAATGTGAATACTGGTGGAGTTTGGAGAAAATAGACCTTGACATTTGGGAATTGAAGTTGCTAGACTTAATGTCAAGGGGAAACCTTTACCTTTGCCTAGCTCAGTGGTTTTCAACCTGTTGGCCTACAACTCTCAGAAATCCTAGCCAGTTTACCAGCTGTTAGGATTTCTGGTAGTTGATGGCCAAAACATATGGGTACCCACAGGTTGAGAAAAAGTCAGGGCTTCTTGTCCACAGGTTCTGCATTCACAGATTCAACCAAACACAGCTTTAAATGTTTGCAAGAAAAAAATGAAAGCAAGCCTATCTTAATTTTGCCATTTAATATGCTGCCCACTGTATATATAATGGGTCTTGACTTTCCATAGATTTTAGTCAATTATTCCCCAATGTATAGTGAGGGCTCACTGTAATCACAGTCTTCCTCTTTTTTTCAGGAAAAAATTCTATCCAACCAAAAATTAGCTTTTTAAAAACTTGGATTTTTTTTTAAAAAAATTATTCATGCACCATGGACTCATGTCTGCATGAACAAGTCATTAATATGTCTCAAGAAGCACTTAAAAATCAATAAAATGAGCTGTTAAACACCCCACCCCTGCCCCTTTTTTGCAATGCCAGAATGGTTTCAGAGAACCACAGAAAAGAATGTAAAGGCAAGGAATTATAACCTTGACATATAACCTTGACCACAACATAGATTTATTTAAAACATAAACTGAATTGCTTCTTAACTAGGCAAAATTATAAGCCCTCAAAATGCAAATAGGACTATATGTCACAGAGAGAATGTTTAGGAGCCACCAGTGGTGCAGTGGGTTAAACTGCTGAGCTGTTAAACTTGTTGACTGAAAGGTTGCAGGTTTGAATCCGGGGAGCAGTGTGAGCTTCCACTGTCAGCCCCAGCTTCTGCCAACTTAGCAGTTTGAAAACATGCAAATGTGAGTAGATGAATAGGTACTGCTCCGGAGGGAAGGTAATGGCACTCCATGCAGTCAGGCTGGCCATATGACTGTGGAGGTGTCTACAGACACGCCGGCTGTTCAGCTTAGAAATGGAGATGAGCACCAACCCCCAGAGTCGGACATGGCTGGACTTAATGTCAGGGGACAACCTTTACCTAGAATGTTTAGATCCTTTTTATCAAACAGGACTCTTGTTTGGTGCTGGCTTACATTGCTGCTCCTTCAATTATCTTTGTGCAAAGAGAGATCAGGAAGAGGATAGCAGAACACACCTGTATGCTGAGAAGAGAAATTCCTATAAACTTAGATACTTTGTTCTTTAATCCAGTGGTTCCCTCTTGTGGGGAAACAGGAGGTTTGCATTAAATAGCAGATTTCCTTTTTTCATATAATTTGTATTGCAAATACAGTAGTGCCTCGCTTATCCAACCTTCGCTCATTCAACGTTCTGTATTATCCAACGCAGTCTGCCTCCTGCATGGATCCACAGGTGTTTCAATACATTGCTATGTTTTGGTGATATAAATATACTAATTACCATGTATTGAACTGCTTTTTCTGTTGATTTGTTGTAAAATACAATGTTTGGGTGCTTAATTTGTAAAATCATAATGCAATTTGACGTTGAATAGTCTTTTCCTTAATCCCTCCTTATTATCCAACATTTTAGCTTATCCAGTGTTCTGCTGGATAAGCAAAACGTTTATGTTGGACAAGCAAAACTCTATTGTATATAAGGAATGGAGAAGGGTAAAAGAGTGGGTATAAAACAGGGGCATTTTAAACATCTTACATTCTTGTATAATACAAAAAAGGTTTCTAAGATGTTAAAAAAGAAAAGAGGAAAAAAAGAACATTTATCTTCCCATCCAAAACAGAACATTAGAAAGGCGAGTGTACAGTGTTTTGATGCTAAGGAGATAGAAATGTTGAGAAATGGAACATAGAAAGCCCTACCGAATACTTCCTACCCTGACTCTGCTGTCTTCTTCATAATTAAAACATCTATTTTTGACATAGAACTTCTTATCTTTGGTAGATAAACTTAGAGGACTTTCTCAATAAGGAAGAGGTGCTATGAAGCTATGCAACTAATGGTGCATCTATACTGTAGAATTAATGCCGTTTGATGCTACTTCAATAACCCGGCTCCATGCTAGTTCAGTGAGACAACAGCACTTTTTGGCAGAGAAGGCCAAACACTTTATAAAACTTCAACTCCCATGATTCCATAGCATGGAACACAGACAGTTACAGTTGTGTCAAATGACATTAATTCTACAGTGTAGCTGCACCTTCTGTCTTGAATAGTTATTGCGTATATGTAAATGTGGATGAGCTCAGGCCATTGCTTTTCTCTTACATTTTATCTAAACATGAGGGATGAAAATGAGAGTCATGAAGGAAGATGCAGGCACTTTGGTTAAAAAACAAAAAGTTATTTTGAACAGTATATCAGTCACAGTTCTATGCTAAAATCTGTGTCATTCTTAGAATCAAAGTTGGGGCCTATTTACACTGTTATATAATGCAGTGTAGACTCATAATGTACAAGCATCATTCCATAGAAAAATACACGACATTTTATACACCGTTGACAGCTATTCAGACTTCCTGTGCCTCCTCCTGATGGGTTGAGAAACGGGATGGCTAGGATCCACACAGGGATTCCCCAGAGGTCTTCTGGATGACACTGACAGGAGTAGGGGATCCCCATGGTGGAAAGAAGGACAGCTGATTATTGGTAGGTTTAAAGGTCCAGTGCATTGCAGAGACGCCCCTTGGGAGGGTGTGAAACCGAGGGGGATGATGACATGGGTATGCAGGTAATTTCTTGATTGACTTAAATGTCTAGTTCCATGAAGACAAAGGCGCAAGACCTGGAAAACAAAAGGTGGCAAGCCTTGATGACCAGAGGCTTGGCTGCCTATTCAGAAGGCTAATGTATTCATCTCTGTTTTAGCCTTCTCTTCCATGGGAATGATAACCCTCCAGTCATAGTTAAATATCCTTAGCCCATCTGTCTTACATGCATGCACAAAGGGTCTGATATTTTAAGAAAAAGACAACTGCAGTTTTCTTTTGTGTGTGTGTGTGTGTGTGTGTGTGTTGTATTTCTCTATTTTTTTCTTTTCCTTCCTATTTTTTTTTACTTTTTTCCTTTCTTCTTCTTATACTTTGACTTTCTATCTTTCATGGATTTTAATTCTCGCAAGTAATCTCTCTTTTAAAGTAATATGTATTATGAAAACATTCAATAAAGAAAATAATAATAATAGTAATAATAATAAGGGTCTGATATTTTCTGGCTTGGGAGGCCACTGGGAGGTCTTTCTAATTGTTCAGCTATATCTTTTGCCAGGAGCTTATGTAAATAGGTGACACTATGG